CCAATCTTATCAGTTCAAATTCTTTATAGTTTCCTATATCTTCACATGTCTTCTTATGCTTGCTGCTACCCTAGCTCAGACCACCCATTGTTTCCCTTCTGTTCTATGACAAAAGTCTCCTCTTTGGTCTCTCAGTACTTCATTTCACCCCTTCCAAACAGTCTCCACAAATAGCCAGAATGATTGACCTTTCCGAAATACATGTATATGTTTGCTTACTGTGAAACATGCTTGTCTTTGGTGTATAATCTGTATTTTACATGATACACAAAACCCTTGAGACCTAATCTCTATATTATCTTCCTTACATTGAAAACTCTTATTATGCGAAATACATGCAAAGCTACAAACATATATACAGTGCTTTCATACCTGGATCTCTGCTTATATCATTCTCTGTGCTTGGAATTCTATACTCTTTTCTCACCCATCTGTTTTTCAAATCCTTATTTTAGATATTTCTTCTTCTCAATAGACTTCGTCAAGATTGAGTGAGCTGGCCACAGTATTATTTGTTATCATAGCACTTGTATATCACTTTACCTTCTTTAATACACTGGGAGCAACCTAAGGAAGATTGAGGTCTTAACCTTCATAATCTTGTGTCCATCACAGTAGCAGGTAGACAGCAGATGTCAAAGAATATTTGTGAAATAAAAGAGATTTTAAAAGGAGAGAGAAATTGAGAAATAAAGAAATGAAAGAGAAAAGGGGGAGAAAAAGAAGATGAAAGGAGAGGAAAAGCGTAGAAAAAGGATAGAAAAAGGGAGACAGGAGAGAGAGGAAGAAGGAAAAGAAAGGAAAGAGGAAGGGAAGGAAAAAAAGGAAGGAAGGAAGAAATAAAGGAAAGGAGGGATGGAAGAAGGGTGAGAGGGAGAAAGAAAGGGAGGAAGGGAGAAAAAAGTAAGGAGGGAGAGTGGGTGAGAAAAAAGAAGAGCTCATGCAGTTACAAAAAAATGGAGACTGTTCACTCTAGATTCCTAGTGGAAATTTCTAGGGAGGCTCCAGATGCCATCACTTCTTCAGTGACTGGCCATTTCCCTGGGACTGCTGACGTCATCATAGTCAAGGAGTCGTGCTGTTAAAGAATGTAAAGACTAAAAAGGACTTTAAAACAATTGAGTTCAACTTCATCTTGTAACTGAACCAAAGGCAAGAGATGTGGCTTGTTCAACAGAAGACAGTTAAAATGCAAACACAGGCTGGAATAATCTCAAAACTTAAATTCTCTTCACCACATCTGTCTTCCCAGAGACAAAATGAATAAATAATGACAGGAGCAGAATGGTAGCTTAGGGCTCTTGGTCCCTAATTTGGGACTGTACACACTGCGGTTCTGTGTGCTATTTCTTTTTCTTAATGCTTTTACTTAATGCAAAGAACATCACTCTTTATGGCAGGTATAAGTAAGGCAAAATAATATTTTGTAGTATTCTGAGCATTCTCTGGTAAAATAAAAGAATACTTGAGCTCTTTCTGCCTCATGCTCCTTATTGCTCACCTTAATCTTTTAACAAGCCCTGAACTTTTTCTTATTCTTCATTTTGTCATGTGTCCTTTTGTCTGGAAGGTCCCTGCTGCCATTTTTACCTTTTGAAATCCTTTGCATATTTTTGAGGCTTTGCTCAAATGTGTTTTCCTCCCTGAGGCCTGCTTCGATGTTTCTGACAGGAGGAAATAATTGTTCTATCTTCTCTGTTCCAATGGTACTTTGTACATTTCTTTCTCAAATATGAATTGGCCTATGCCTTTTATAATAGTTCCATGTGCATACTTTTTCCTCATTAAATGTAACTCCTGGAAGGCTGGACTCATTCTTTATATTTATCTCCTCTAGTATGAATTAACGCAGTACCTTTAATATGACATACATTTCGTGTTTGTTATGTTGACCTGAACTACAAAACTTATTTTCCAACTCTGATGCCTATATTATCCTAAAAGATTGATAAAGGTAGAAATTCATAATACTCCTCTTTTTGTTTAAATTTTCCATGGGCATGGTCTTCTTTTTCCTAAACCACTTCTGTTCGCCAACATTTGTTCAACAGTTTAAAGTGAGCTGTTAATATGGACCAAAGGTTATACATACATGAGGAAGGAAGCAGGGAGAGAGAGCAGTATAATTGAGGCAGTGAGTATCAGAACCTTCGCAGTTATGAATAGTAATATGATTTCATACGCCAGTCAATTGAAGGAGCAATTATTAAGAGAGATTCATGTCCTTTTAAAAATATTGCCAAATAAAGAGATTGTTGGAAGAGAAGTGGCCTCATTTGTTACAGGGTTCTTCTTTTAATGCAGAGGCTCCTTGGGAAATATTTATAGCAATATATTTCAAGTATAGAAAATAAAGAAGAAGCTAAGAAACACTCACTAATTCTTGCTCAAGGTTAGAAAGGATTTACTTGAGGTGATTAACCTAGACTGTTCATTCCATTCATTTTAACTAGAAGTGTTCCTGTACAAAGCAGATGGCAAATTGGTAGAATGTAGAGAAATGAAAACAAGAAGGCACTTTAAATGTCAGGACTCCCAATCTCTCTCTGTGAGGTTTGACCTTTTTGAAACCTCCAATTCTTATCAAGTGAAGTTAGTATTTCCATTAGCTTATGCAAAAAGATTTTCAAATTATTTTAGAAAATATTTCAACATTGCTTTTAGATGAAATTTTGTATATTTTTAAAAACATAATTTTAAGTCTTCTCAAGTCTAATATATTTATGTATTAATCACCTACTACTGACAGTCCAGATTCTGGCAAGCTAATGGCAACTGCCATTTTTATCTGCACTTTTCCCTGAGTATTGTTCAAAGGGCATTTTTTTTTTTCATTCACCACTTATATGCATGGCCAGATAAAATGCATCACCAGACTCATAGATAGCAGACATCCTTTACAATAGTTCAATTCTATCACAATTTTCAGAAATATAATTTTCTAGCACTAAAGAAGTCTTTATAAATCCACTGGTTCTGAAATGCTATGTAGAATTCAGAGCAAAATTAAAAACAAGAAAAATGAATAAATGGTAGAAATAACAGACAGTAAAATAGAAAGATCATTACTTTCCATTTCTAACTCCAACTTGAGAGTTGAATAAATAAAATTAGGAGAAAAAATACACAAACTTGCTCTCAGGTATCTTTCCTAAACTTCAGAGAGGTGACATTATGGAGTTTGTTAGAGTAAATTGTTCCCTTCTGAGTGTACATAAGAGAGCATACTACATTGCTATATTCTCTTTTATTGAGTTCCTGAAATATTGTTTTTTTTTCTTACCTACATTTTCTGAAACCTTACTGATTTTGATTTTTACTCAGTTCTATCTACTCAGGTTGCTATAACCACAGATAATGCTTTTAAACTCCAAAATTACTTTTTTCTGAGTTTCTCCAGGGAGAAAAATAAATTTCTCAAATGTGAACCACTAACTCATTCTTGCATAACAGTTGGTTCTCTCAAGAGCAACTCATTTTTAGAGAGGGTTTCTTAAATCCATATCTATCTGTTCCATGTACCTTTGGACACACTGGAAATACTTGTTTTCCCTTGGACTGCTTTCTTCTACTTGAAAACTCCTTAAAATAAGATTTTCCTTGTGTGCACTAATTGAGTAGGTAGGTATATGCAGCAGTGGAAGAGGTGAATTTCCGGAGGGCTCAGTGACAGAGATTATGTATGGAATTTTCCTTATGAAAGAGGAGAAATTATTCAGTTACCTCATCTGCAAAATGGAAAACCAACAATACCTACCTCATAGATTAGCCAGGAGGATTAAATGAGCTAATAATGTGAAGACTCAGTGAGTAGTAAATAAAAACTAAGTCAGTCCATGCTGGCTACTATTATCATCAGTCACAGTGAACAAAGTATCGCAGTGGGGCTTAGGGAAAATTTGGAAGGGTTTGGACGAGAAAAAAAAGTTGCTGATGTCTTACCTCCAGGGAATCATCAGCATTCACCATCCAACAGTCTGTCCAGGTGGCCACAACCAAGAACCCAGTAGCGAAAAAGGCTAAGAAGCAGGCAACGTACTGAAGAAGATCCCTCATCTTAGCGAGCAGCCGGTCTGGAAGGGATGCATGGGCAGCTGCCAGTCCTGGGCTCACTCAGGTAGCTGGAACGCTATCAGTCTCTTGTGCCTCTGGTACCTGGAGATGTGAAAATAGTGGAAAATACCTTTTCCTTACACCCCACTGCAGGTGTCTTGAGTTGCAGTAAGAGTAATACAAACAGGCTGTAACCCACAGAGGGGTCCTAGAGGTCATTATCCGAAGCAACCAGCCTCCAATCAGAAGCCAGGTCAGTGAAAGAACTGGGTATGTTTTGGGTGGGGGAGAAAAGTAATCCTGGTTACTTTTTCTGCCCGGACTGTGGGCTAATGTGAGATGATGGTCACCGAGGCACCTGCGAGCGCCAAGATGGAGAGAAGGAAGAAGGGTCATACCCCATGCTGACGCCTGTAAACTGATCTTTCTCAGGCCCTCCGGGGAAAGTGAGCTATTCTCCTCCCCCTCCATAAGGAGGCTACACGGTTGACTGCTATTTTATTATTAGGACTATTTTAATATTCTCTGACTACCTTAGACAGACAGGCCACTGGTGAAACTATGCCAAACAAGTGCTTGCTCAAGGGAGTTTGCATTCCAAAGTGTTGGGCAGAACAGCCCCATGAAGGGTTTCTAGCACCTGGGCCCCAGGTACAGCCAGGGCAACTAACCTGTCCACATCATGCAGCCAGAAAGAGCGCGCATTTTAATTCAGAATGCTCTGGGTGGAAATCCTTGCTCTGAAGCTTAAAGGCTGAGGACACTTGGGCTGTGATTTCTGTAACATGAGGGTATTAATACCTTGTTCATAAGATGGTTGTGCCTGTAAATCATTTAGAATAGTGCCTGACAAAAAATAACTAAGTGGTAACTATTAACATGACCGAGAATTCCCTATATGATTACTTTTCTCCTGTGAATCAATGTTTGATAATATGTCCGAACAAACAAACAAACAAACAAACAACAACAACAAAAAAAAACCCATCTATGTTAGGAAAAATATTTGAAGTTTTTTTTCTTTGACATAACAGGGGCAACTGTAGATTTACCTACCTACACCTGAATGGGTAGCTTTGTGGATATAAATATTCCATAACCAGTAGTCTTTTAAAAATATCTTTAAAAGTATATATACTCCCATTTTATCATCAGCAGATAGATTTCTCTATAATAAAATTCAAATTTTAAGTAATAATAATAATAAGTATTTTACATGGTTCTTAATACAAGAGAGAATGAGAAAGGCAAGAGAGAGAGAGAGAAGGAGGGAGGAGAGAGAGAGAAAGAGGAGAGAGGAAAGTGAGAGAGAAAAAGAGGCTCAGGGAAAAGGATTAGAAATAGGTGATTACTCTGGGAAGAATCAGCTACTAGGTTATTTTACTAATAGCTCATGAAGAGATTACTTTTTTTCTATTTAACAATTATTTGGTCAGAATATTTAAGATAAAAGATTAAAATCAGTGTCAATACAACATCGTTCAGGAGTATATTAAAATAACTTTTGTGACTAAAACTTATTTTCTCATTTTAATTAATTTGTATTCAAATATATAAAATGTAAATTTAAATGTGGAGTAAATGTAAAAGCTGGCTATAAAACCAAGTTTGGAATATAAACTCAGTTAAACCATAAATAAGGCTATATACATTAACAGTAGATATTATTAGTTTGTGAGGTACATTACAGATGCTTTTAATTTTGCTTATTTTTATTTTACTTATTTTACTTAACAATTAGGAAAAATAATATATATTTTTAAAAGTGCTCACAAACAGTGGAATTCCCTATGGTGTAAGGCAGCAACAATGCACACATACTGTTTTGGTGACTCACAAGTAAATCTTTTTCTGTACTCTAAAATCTAAAATGCTTGTACTCTATTGCTCTGGAAGAGGAAACTAATTCTAAAAGCACATGCCCATTACAGAAAAGTCCTGGGCTTAGCTGCTGGCTTTCCACCCAGAGGCCTTTCACAATGTACTTTTCCTGCTAACAGTGCACCCCAGGGCAATGCTTCTTAAACTTGAGTGCACACTGGAATCTCCAAAGCCATTCATTATAAGTACAGCTGAGAGCTCAACCTTCAGAGATTTGGATTCAGGAAATTGAGAGTTCACAAGAGTTAAAACTGGATGGTCAGGAATTCACATTTATGTATACCTTGTATATAATTCTGATTCTGAGGCAGACGGCCATGCTTTGAGAAACTAAGAAGAAAAAAAAATCTGCATTAAAACCAGGATATTACTTTTCAGAGTCATATACTACAAAGCTGAGGGGAGGGGGATATAACTGCATCTTTGGTAGCAACTCTTCCCTAACTAGTACCAATCAATAGCGGTTCCCAAATCCATATATCAGAACTTAATGGAGAGGATTAAAGGAAAAAACATTGAGCACATGCATGCGTCCTATATGCAAACATACACATGTACACATATATCTCTGGAAATCAGAGATTCTTTCACAAGACAGATATAGACTGTATTTGATTTATTTCATTTCCAAATTTTACTGGGAACTGAGGATAGGGGGACCATTCATGAGATTATAGAATTGTTTCTGAATCAAAGTTAACTACTTTTAGAGAATAACATAAGACAATCATGCTTAAATGTTCATTTCTGGTGAGACCATAACATAATAGGAGAGTCGAGAAAGGAGAGCAGAGAAAGGAGAGCCATGTAAACTGCCACTATAGGCAGGACTTCACGGATGGGACACGAGGACATTTCTAAAGAAGAGATAACTGTGCAGGGAGCTGCGAGTTTGGAGAGTGCAGATGCATAATAAATCATTTTTACTTTCTGCCCATGCTCTAGACTCCAATATTTTGCTTTATCAACTCAATCCCAGTTTAGTTCCATCCATTCGGCACATACTTATGAACAGCCTACTCTAACTCTAACTCCAGTATTATGCTAAGTCCTGGGGTCTCAGGAAAAAAAACGGAAGATGGAAAACTTGGTCCCTGTCCTTGAGAAGCAACAGTGAGTGGAATAGAGCTAGGCTCACGATGTGAAGTGAAGAGTTCCAATGTAGAATAAACACAAAGGACAATTATCACTATGCATGTGTCTCAGTAGTGTTTACAAATGATTGTAAATGCATTATTTCATTTAAGCTGCATGAAGACAGACAGCTTTGTTCAATGCATCTCAAGTGCTTAAAATTCTGCCTGGCATACAGAAAGCTCTCAATAAATATATGTTGAATTTAATTTAATCCTCACAGCCCCACATTTTATAGAAGAGGAAGCAATGTTGGATTCGCTCTTTCTGAACCATCGAGGGTCCTCCAGAACAAATATAAGGCTGGCAAAAGTGGCTCGATCATCTTTACGGCTCCAAAGCTCTTTGTTTTGCACAGTGCCTAAGACATTTTGGTCAATTCACATGCACTGTGTTCCCACTCGCCCAGTATTTGCACTACTCCTGGTTGAAGCTTTAGGGCCACCTGGTGATTAAGTGAGTGGCCCCTTTAGCCTAGCATCCTGGATGTTGGTCTGTAAAAGGAGATAATTGTACAACTAGAAACATGGCAATTATCCCTTTGGCCTGCAGGTGGAAGCAGCTCTGCATTTTCAAGAGAGAAAAATAGTAAGTTGTTTTCCGTTGTCTTGTTTCTGTTACTGTCTCGAACTGTTCCTTCTATATTCATTATAATAATACTAGTCCTTAGAAAGAATAGCTGATGTATATCACATCTTATGAATAATTTTCTCATTCTTTTTTAATTGTTCAGTGCCCATTGGAAAAAACTACACAGTAAAATCAATTGCTGTTGCCAAGGCCATGCTGACTATAACTAATGGCAAAATAAATCGGTGCTTAAAAGCTTGGAACTCAGAGTCAGGCAGACCTGAGTTGAGGCTAAGCCACTTAATATATATGAGCTCTTAGGCAAGCTACTTAATAGCTTGCTCAATTAAATGAGAATTATAAACTCTGTCTAAGATGAAAAAATAACATTTGTAAAGGTCTTAATACAGTGCTTGGAAGGTAAAAAAATTATAGTATGATTTTTATGTTACAACCTTGCTCTTCGACATATGTGCCATATAAATATACATATGTATGTATATATATATATATATGTGTGTGTGTGTGTGTATGTGTATCCATATATACACATACACATGGACATTCTGTCTAAGATGAAAAAATAACATTTGTAAAGGTCTTAATACAGTGCTTGGAAGGTAAAAAAATTATAGTATGATTTTTATGTTACAACCTTGCTCTTCGACATATGTGCCATATAAATATACATATGTATGTATATATATATATGTGTGTGTGTGTGTGTGTGTGTGTGTATCCATATTTACACATACACATGGACATATATATGTGTATATATATGTACATATACATATATCTGTCTGATATATATAAAACAACTTAATAAATTGAACACAGGATAAACAAGAGGTACAGTCATAAAGCAATTTTATTTTTGTCTTTTATGGTCCTTTTGAATCCACTTGGTTTGAGCCAATTCTTTCCTTGCCTCTTAGATAAATTTTAGGGTAAGTCTCATGGCATTTCTGTCATTCTTAGTTAATATGAATTCTTTTAGTCATTTCAAAGAACAATAACAACAACAACAAAAAACAGCCTCATTTCAGTGGTATAAATATCTCTACTCCTGTATATTGGCCAAGCCTGTTATACAGGATCATGCAGGCTTCTGAGCAATATACCTGCCACAGTCTCTGCCCTTTTGATTTCTGAAGCCTGAGACATACAGTAGTCCATTATGTCTCTCTGGATCCAGGGAACAGATACTAGGCATTCAGAATAGATGAGTTGAAACTCTTTTCCCTAGGCTTAAAGTGAGTTACAAGAATTTTCAGCCTCCTTCATGGTGACAGGGAAGTGGGACTCAATATATACCAATAGCTCTCTCCCCAAATATGTCCTGGTGTTTATCTCTTTTCTTGGAGTTAACCTTGGTTTTTTGTTTGTTTGTTTGTTTTGTTTGTTTTTTCCTTTTTGGCGGGCATGGGGAGGAAGTGCAGGGCAATATAGCTGTTCCAATAAGAGTTGGAAAACCAGTTCTAAAGCACCTCTTTTGCAACTCCTGCCTGGGGTTTTTCATCTTATTTTGAAATGTGATATCTATTGTCCAGTGACCTCAGTTAAAACTGAAACTAATATGAGTTCCGTAGAGATACCTATTACCCAGGATTATGTGGTGTTAGACTGGAACT